TCCGATCGCTTGAACCAGATAACTTCTTCATCAATCTCTCTCTCGAATGGTCATCAACCGTTAAGTTCGGTATCTTACTTCCAAACCATTCATCTGCCTCAAGATTTGTGTTGTCATATTTTACATATACACGTTCCAAGGCGTTAAGTAGGTGTTATATAAAGTTTAAGACAATTAGATATTTCTTTTTGGTAAAATATGTTGTACTAATTTCAGTTACAGGGATTGTTCATTAGGTAAATGGGTTATTTAACATGAAAATTACAGCCATGAATATCAACCAACATAACAAATAAGAGAGGCCAAGAAGCATTGTTTTGTCCCAAGGAAATATCTGCTTTGCCGACTTATCAAACATTTTCATAAAAAGGATCACCATGCTCTGCATAAAAATCAGAACAAGAATTAAACTCTGTTGCACATAAGCATCAACACTGCATAAATATTTGGTACTTGTAATAGCCAACACTGCTAGAATTTTATGGTACCGTGAAAGAATACTTGGAAATTAGTATAATTTTAAAAAATAACATTATAATTTTAATTTTCAATAGTGTGGAATAAATAAATAATTAATTAAGATACCTCCTTGCCTACCAAATTGGCTGGCTTCCACTTCAATAAAGGATCAATTAAAGATTTGCCATTCCTTCGTGTTTGTTCATTTCATGCAAGCAAAATGAAACATTCAAATCATTAATAATAATAAGAATAATAACAACTTGGTCATTAAATCATTTCATTTCTATGCAAACATAGCTACCCAATCTTACCTTAGAAATATCCTTCCATTATACACATGTGAAGAATCCAGCGTACAACCATGCCCCAAATGCAAGTCTTTATCCTTCCATTCTACACAATATATTCTTTCTTAATAAAACCCTTTTAAGAAAAAAGTATTACATTTTTAAATTCTTTAATTAACTACATACCTATCTGCCATCTTAAGCCAAAATCTGCTCCACCATCAGCGGCAGGTCTTACAACAAACTCTAAATGCTTCTTAAGTAACGTAACGAAATGACATATCATTCCATAAATATGCTAAAATATGAATAAAATCCCTTAGATCAAACTTACATTAATAAATGCGAAAATACTTTTCGCATAAATAATACCTCTTTTCCTGAGAGAATAAGCAAGGCAGGTAATCTGAAACTAATATTTGGAATTTCATCACCAACTAATAATTCCGGTTCTGTCTCAGCTCTGTTTCTCTTCTTATTATGAATTTTCTGACTAACCTCTTCTCTGTCACCTAAGTCTTTTCTGCTGCAGCATCGGATGGACGGTGACGATTTGTTTCTGAAGCTTCTATTGAATGGTTGAAATTTTAGATTTTTAGGCGGAAGAAGGTGAGTATTTATTATGGAACGAAATGTTTGAAGATGAAATGTGGAGGGCAAAATTTGCATGATTTATGCGAGTTATAGAGATTTGATAATAGAATGGAGGGATGGTTCAAGTTTTAAGGCAGCGAAGCGATAGGCAGAAATAAAATTGAAGTTAAGGATCATATCAGAAGGAAGCAATGCTTGACATGCATTATTTGGTAAAGGATAATGTTGGCTAGATCATTATACTGGAGCAAGTCTGGAATATCACTGGGAGTGCACTAATCTTAATGTTGAGATGTGATTAGGCTGTAATCGAGCAGGGTGGAGTGGAGTATGTCATAGTTTGGATCTGGATCGGTCATACTATAAAGTCATGTTTAGCTCAAGCTTAAAGGAAACTTTTAGTGGTGTGGTCATACTTCGCTTGCTTAATTTTGTAAATATTTATTCTTGCTTGAACTTGAAATATTTATATCAAATGGACAAGCTTTAGCGAGTTAATGAATAAGCTAAAACTTAGAATGAGTATATAGTTTTTCATATAAAATTATTAAAAAATAAATTTTAAAATTTAAATTATGAAGCAATTAATTTTTTGAATTAGTATATAACCACTTTTCATCAATTATAAAAAAATATAAGTTGCACGCAAGTTTTCTTGTAATTAAACAATAAAATTTACTAATAAACTAATTCATTAAAATATGTGTGTATGTGTGCGCGCGCGCACGAGCAGCCGGTGGCCTGTTGGTTGGCAGCTTTGGTGTAAGTCCCCTCTGTCCCGAGTTCAAATCCATCTCGGATGAATGAACACATATGGGGTGAACGGACACGTATTGTCGTTCAACTTTTTTTAATAAATAAATAAATTTATATATATATATATATATATATATAAATCACAATAAAAATAGAAATATTATTATTGAATTCAAATTGGGTTACAACAACGACTCTTCAAACATGAAATAAGTGATAAAAATCATAGAATAACACAAGCAATCACCTCTAAAGCGTATACTAGGGTGGTAGAGGTTGGTTAGGTGGATCATAATGGTTGACCAGGGTGGCAGCAGCATAGGAATGTTCGTGGCAGCGAAAAGTAAGTGCAAAAATGTAGGGACAACATGTTTAGAGGTTGTCCTAGGTGGTGACAGCGGGGAGTGGGGGTGGATTACGATGAGACAGTAGGAGGGAGGCATTCCCTAGCTCTCCTGGGCAACAGCGGTGCAGTGGGAAAGCTAGGAGAGTAGGGGAAGATGTTACTACTAGAAATAGGGCATTCGGGGGTTGGTGTAACATTATGCTAAAAATCTATCATTGGTGACACTTCTTAGAATACTCAAGAAAATCTTGAGTCATAAAAATACAATAATACCCAATCCTCTTAATTTTTAGTTTAATCGTTGGGGCGTATTGTTGCAATCCGCAAATACCCTCATTCACCTCACTCATGACCTTATGGGTCTTTTTTTTATCAAGATAGTGGATCCACATTTGATCGAATTAACACTAATATAACATGTTATTCAGGACAGTGCATGAAAAGGCTTTCCTTTAGGTCTGAGCCGATAAGGAGTGATCATCCATGAGCCTGCCTTGACTAAAAGTTTATGAAATTCTGCCACCAATCTTTAATTTGGTTAGCATAAGCAACAAGAAATCCATTGAATGAGTTGGAAGGTAATATCATGGGTATATCTAAGAGCAGAAGTGACAGGGATTGGACAACTCCTTGGCCAAATGAGCAAGGCATTTGCCTTCCTGTTCATGGATCGTGAGATCCTAACATGGGTCACATCGGGAATATTGGTTAGTAAATCTAAGACCCGGTGGCGATAGCTCAAAATTTTATGTTTTATAACCTTATAAGCACCCGTAAACTCGACTTATCACAAGCTAAAAATCACCTTATACTTTGATTCTCTTCACATTTATTAGAATGGAAAGCTCTAACCTAAGGATTAGCACTTCTTACTGCACTTTATTATTGGTCTGAGGTTCCTTCAAGCATTAAGAAAAATGAAGGATACCTCACTCAGGGGAGATGAAAATAAGATCGATCTGTTCCTTAAAGCAAGGGAAGTCTCCCAATGGATCCTCTTTCAATGAGGATGCACCATCAAAATAAGTTCCCACTCTGGGTCATTTAACTCCAACACATTCTCTTTCAGGAAGACATAACCGAGAGGCGAGTCAGCCGGTATGGGGTAAACTGTTAAGAATTTCACAAAATCCTGGCCCTTAACAACCCAATGTATTTTGAAATTAATATAAACTTGAAAAGTCAAGACCCATTTGGCCAGATGTCCTAGCAAAGTTGGAAGAGTCATTAGATACTACAACACCTAGGATCTGATGGATGCGATTAAATAACATGTAATGCTTCTTTATTTAAACCATAAATATCATGAATATCAATGCCAACAATACTTTTTAATTAGTGGATATCTTAGTTCAATAGGTATAATATGTCAATTAAGGTAGTACAAGGCGTTCTCCTTCCCCTTATTATTCGCTAAATGACTAACATCTCCCAGATAAGTCAAATATGAAACTCCAAAGAATGGCTACCATACCCTTAAGAGAGCTCAATTGTGTAAAGATCTTAAGGGGCTCCATCTCATGATAGCTTTAATCATGGCAGGCTCTATCTCAATTCTTCTATAATAGATGACAAAGCTAAGGAACCTTTCAGAAGAAAGGCCAAAGGTGCACTTCAATGGGTTCATTTTCAAGCCAAACTGCCTAATATGTCTAAAGCCAACTCGTAGATCATTTATGTAGTCCCTCTAATTGAATCTTAATGACCACATCATCGATATAACACTAGATCTGTTTATGCAACAAGTCATCACACACTGATAAATAGCCCTGATATTTTTAAGGCTCAGAAGCATAACCATCTTTTCATCAAATTGGTGCATAATATATGAATTTGCAGTTCACTACACCAAGTTTTGAAGATTAATATTATCATTTCAGTGAATTTATTTTTTGACAACTTTCATAGATGTAATATACAAAACTTATGCTTTATATTTAGAAAAAAACATCTTGATTACCCTTCCAATCTTTTCTACATATCACATATAAAAGCTAGTTGCAATACATTAGAACCATGCTTTCTTCAATTTGGATTCACCAATAACATAAGCCAATGTGAAGAGACCTTTATTACTACACAAAGAGTTTGTAGATAACAACATACTTTGATATTTATACTTAAAGTGGGAAGCATCAAACCCAATTAGATTTGTACAACCTATAAGGAATCCATTGATGCAAACTTTAAAACTCACAAAAAATCAATTGAAGGATAAATCATGTCTACAGTAGGTATATGTAATAAGAGAGCCATAATTTATGTTAATAAATTTAGCTCTCAGTGTAGAGACCCACTTGTAATTCCCATCTGCATATTCAATTATTTTTTTCTCTAGCTTCTTCTCTTATATACTATAATTTTATGTATGGTAAGGATATGTTATAAGAAACACCTAAAATATATAGTGTTTATGTACACAATTTTTATACCTATTTTTGAGATATTGCGCTTTAATGGAAGGTATTTGTGTGTTTTTCTTTAGGTACAATCAAATTGATGAAAAATGGTGAAAGGAGTGAAAAAAGATTAAATTTAGAGCAAAAATGAAGAAGGTGTGCAAAAGAGCTGTGGCGTCTAAGTGTCTAGAACTGGTGATTAAGTGTCAGTAAAACTGAGAAGGTCGTGTCTAAGCACCAAGTACCTCGCGCTTAAGTACCAGAGGTAGTTACTTGGTGATTCAATAAATTTGGATGAATATTTGAAGTAACTTTTGGTGAAAACATGGGAAATGGTTAATGGACACGAAAATACATTCAATTGGCTTTTGAAAGGAGGCAACTCTCGGAAGGTTCATTGAATGTGGACACATTTTGAAGAGACACTAAGACACCGTTTGGAAGATTATAAAAAAAACTAGGATTGGATTAAAGGGAGAACTACTCTCTCCAGCGCCCCTAGAGAAACTCTCAGCCCCTTAGCTACCAACGCCTCTCTCTCTTAGATTAATTAGGATATATTTTTAGAGAGAAGAATAGAGGAGTTGTAGTGTGTGAGTAGAGAGTATTATAAGAGAAATGAAGATAACTTTATATTAAAATGTGTGAGTAGAGAGTATTATAAGAGAAAGGAAGATAACTTTATATTAAAAATTTAAATAAGAACTTTATAATAAAAATTTTAAATAAGAACTTTATATAAAAAATTTAAATAAGGACTTTCTATAAAAAATTATGAGTAGAGAGTATTGTAGTGTTTGATGGCCACAAAAACTTTATATAAAAATAACACTATAATATTTCTATAATAAATCTAAAAATTTAAATAAAACTTTATAATAGTAGATTTTTGCTTTCTAAAAATTTCTTTAAAAATTTTGTAATGTTTCCCGGCAATGATACCCCAAAAATAAATGCATTTGTAGACATATATTGTATACTCATTTTTTATAATATTGCGCTTTAAAGGAAAGTACTTTTCATGTTTTATTGCAAGTTGATGATTTTTAGCACTTTAAGCAAAAAGAAAGCAAAAAGGATGGAATTTGAAGTCAAAATAGCATTTTGGAAGAAATACTCGGCGCCGACGGTGCCAGACATTATAGAAAATTAAATACTGCAACCAGGAAAGATCATTTTCCTTTACCATTCCTAGACCAAATGTTGGATGGATTGGCTGGGCAAAAATATTACTTCTTTCTAGATGGATATACCAGGTATCATCAAATTCAAATTGCTCCTGAGGATAAAGAAAAAAACAACATTTATAAGCCCTTATGAAACATTTGCTTTTCGTAGAATTCCTTTTGGACTATGTAACGCACTTGTGACATTTCAAATTTGTATGATGTCAATTTTTTGTAATTAATTGAATGTGGAATGGAAGTACTTATGGATGATTTTCTGTATTTGGAACTCGTTTGAATTATGCTTAAATAATTTAGAAAAAGTTCTGAAACTATGTGAAAAAATCAACTTAGTACTAAATTGGGAAAATGTCAATTTATGGTTGCAGGAGGAATTGTACTTGGACATAAAATTTCTGAAAATGGCATGTAAGTAAATCCAGCAAAAATTCAAGTTATTGTGAAATTACTGCATCCTACTATGTTTAGAGAGGTAAGAAGTTTTCTAGGACATGCTGGATTCTACACGAATTATATAAAAAAAATTTCAAAAATTAGTAAGCCATTTTGTCAACTTTTCTAAAAGGATACAAAATTTAATTTTA